TATCATAAGAGCCTTTATGGCTTTGCTGGTAGTGTTCTTAATATGCCTGTTCCACAGGAGTTTACTGTCCAGGGTTATTCCCAGGTATTTAACTTCCTGGGTTGGCAGTATTTCCTTTCCATGTAGTTGGATTCTTTTCAAGTTTTTCAGACTTCGCCTTCTGGTGAATGCAAACAGACCCATAATAATTCAAATCTTTATCATCCAAGACTTCCAAGAATTATAAAGTAATCTCACGTCAAAATTTTTTAAAATTATTGCATGCCTTAAATGTTTGCAAAGTTAACAAAAATATGTCTTTTGATTACCTGCAATTAATATATTTGGTCCAATTTATCAGTTCTGCATCATATCCGAAATTCAGATTGTGTGTGACACAACGAAGAGTCAACGTGCAACGTGAACGACAAGAAAATGGCAAGTAAAAAAAATTGTAATGTCTTAATTACTAATTACACAGTCGTTCTCTTGAGTTCTCCTGCCTAAAATCTATATTGCCTTCCCTAAGATTTAAAATATAAATGATTGAAACTCATACAAGTTTACCACAATTTAAACTTAAGATAATTATTTAATTATTACGAAGTTACTAAATATTAATTATTTCTATTTAATCATTTAATAATTCTGATAAAAACACGCTTGATTATTTATTTTAGAAAGAATACGGGCTATAATCATTAATATGACTATATTAACAATACTTAAATCAAAATTTATTTGAAGGAATGCTACTGTATTACAATAATTGTAAAACAAGTATGTAATAATAACTCGGAATAATTACTTAAAACTACTCATCTTGTTATAGATGTCGGCGTCTGGTCTCTATTATTTTATTAGCCGTTTAGCTATAGTTTGATTTCAGATAATGCAGATTTTAATGTGACATTTGTGTTTTTTTATTGGAATTATTATTTTTAGCATATTTGGTATACTCTATGAAGTTATTTTTAAGTGCTTCTGTTCATTTTTCAATTATTAAAGTGCGTTTAGATACAATTAAAATTGATTAATTGGTGTATAGTATTTGTATTATGGGTTTGTTTATTTTTTATGAAATGATTTTTTTTCCTATTAAAATAAACATAGCTTACTAAATCACTAGCTAGCCATTTTTAAATACAGGATGTTAATTAAGTATCTGGCCAAACTTCAGGAGGTGATTATTTGAGTGTTTTTAAGGTAAAAAGTTCATATAAACATGTGTCCGGAAATGTATAATTTTAAAGATACAAGGGTGTCAAGGTGTTTTCTAAATAGACCTTTTTTTATTAATATCTCAAAGATCCGTTAGCCGATTTTGTTGAAATTTCGCCGTGTTGTGAAATTTAATAAGTTAGCACTAATTAAATGATAATTATTATTTACAACAATATTTAAACGATAAAAACTTATCCCAATAAATATTTAGCACCGCCTTGAATTAATTTGGTTTACGTTGGCGGTGGAAACCATGCAAGCTTTTCTTTGTCCTAAGTTGTTGATTAAAAAAATAATTATCATATAAAAAATTATAGGTCCTAATAGCCTAAATTTTATCGAAATATATCAGCAGATCCGATGAGAACCGAATTATTATATGTTTTGGAACTTAATGATTTAATTAATTATTCCCTTTAATGCATCGATTGTGCGCATTATCCCTACGCGCCAAGAAAAAAAATATTGCATTAGTGTAAATTTATTATTTATGTTATTCCGCTCTTTCACGTATAATTTGCCCCCTGCTTCTCATACGGAAAGACTTAGATTAAATGGCCCAACTGTACTTAACAACCCATGTCTTGACGCATATTCTTTTTATAATAATATCGGCTTTCCAGACTAAACATCCATATCCATAAAATAGTTGACCCACACTAATAAGACCTCATTTCGGCCCTCGGATGGCCTTGCTCTATTCAGCTATCGAGTTACGTGTTGACAAGTTGATTAGGCAGGTTATTGAACTCCATGTCGCCTCTAGCATGTCGTTTTTTCAAAGATGGGTCCCATATAAACGCGGCCAGAAGTATTTTCAATACTAAAAGTTACAGCGATTTGTTAAAAATGCATATTTTTTAAAAACACCCCGTAACTCCGAAACGGTAACAGATATCGATATGCGGTTTTCACCATCATGTTTTTGATAAAAATTGAGCTCCAGACACCGATATTAGTTTTTGTCTATCTCCTATAGAAAAGGGTGTTTCCATTTAGAAGCGTCGAATTTGACCCACCCTGTGCAACAAATGGCTGACGATAGAATACCAAAGCAAGTGTTGCAGTGGACCCCTACAGACAGACGTAAACGATGCCGACCTAAACTTTTCTGGAATCAAGGAATCGACAGAGCCATGTCGGAAAGGAACCTACTACCAGGAGATTGGGACAATAGACGGATGTGGCTCATGGAGACCGGAGGGCGACGAAGGACGCTGTAAAACTGGACATACATACATACAAAGAAACGAGGCAGACAAACTAAAAAAATATTTGAGTTAAATGATAGTTGGTAAATATTCCAACCATAATTTAACTCAAATATCAAAGAAATCATATTAATTCGCAAGTTAACTGTAATTTCTGTCATTATTTGGATATCTTGTCCTTGTCTGTCGAAATTTTGCCTGGTTTCTTAGACATATTTTATTTCAATATATCCTCGATCTTAATCGTTACCTAAATAAGCATTCTGTTTAAAAATTCGATTTTATTAGTGTCATATGGTGTCATCTCCACACCAAATTTCAATTTACTAATACGAGTCTTTTTTAAATATCTCGATAGTAAAATAATTATTATTGGGTTCTTCCTACTGTATTAGATATTAGATACATAATAAATCTTAAAGTCTAGGAAGCAGTGAAGATTTTCGGTATTTATTTTCCCAGTCAGCAAACACAGATAAAATCATTCGGTAGGATATTCCTTTTGTTATTCTGAACAAATTTCCCATACCTATACAGGATGGCGCACCTCTTTATCGCCTCAGTTGATTATATGAAAACGGAAAGATGTAAAATCAAAATGTTTTTTGGGTATATGTGGGGAGGCAATGTGGGCACAATTTAAAATTATTTTGAAATATACAGGGTGTTTCAGCACTAAGTTTCATACCAAAGTTATATTTTATCTTATGGAACACCCGGTATTTTATTTCGTTTTTAGATTCTTGGGCTCAAAAAAGGCATTTATTATAAGGGTTATATATGTTTAAAATGTTTGGTTTTTGAGACATTTAAAGATATTTAAATATGCATGCTACAATAGAGTAGATTATCAACACCCTGTACATTACTTTTCAGAATTAATTCTTGTCCTGAGTTTAAAGGTAAAGAAATAAACTTTACTAAAACATGTTATTGTTTCTTTTCTTTCAAACTATATTAGGGTTTCCTATACCTATCTATCGCAGATTTTGAATAAAAAGCAATTTTTCAATAAAATGGCTATCAAGATGGCTAGTATCGCCATGGCAATTTTCTAGTGACAGTTAGTAACTATTTTCAAATTCGACATTAGTTTATGGACAGAAAATGACACTCAGAAGAGACATATCACATGTCACCTTTTGACATTTTCGAATATGCATGGTTTGCGATTCATAACGGCAATTTGACTCGATATGTGTGGTACCAAATTATTTGTAAAAAAATGCTTTTTCCAAATATACTAATGATCCACCCTCGTTCCATTTGAAAAAAATGAGATATGATTAAAAATACGATTTGGGCACATTTTAACCGGCCAGGACAAGACACGAAAAACATTAGACGATCAAATCTATTTTTCCAAGGCCCCTTGATTAAAAATTAGTGTTTTTAACATGCCATATATATAGTACTCTAGATGAAATTTAAAATACGATTTTTTAAGCGGAAATGTCAAATTTTGTTATATGCAGGGGCGGATATAAAGGAATTTATTTTAGGGGAGGGGCGAAAAAAAGTAATGTAGAATATGCTTTTTTGGGGCGCAATTTTTAACCCAAAAGCCTAATTAAAAAATACTAAAAAGTACCAAATTATTTGTAAAAAAATTGTTTTACCAAATATGCTAATGAGCTACCCTTGTGTCATTTAAAAACTTGAGATATGATTATAAATACGATTTGGGCATCTTTTAAATGGCTAGGACAAGACACGAAAAACATTAGATGATCAAATCTATTTTTTCCTTGATAAAAATTAGCGTTTTAACACAGACTGACACGGCCATTCTAGACTGAAATTTAAAATACGATTTGTTTTTAAACGAAAATGTCATAAGTTGACATATATGTCATTTTATTTAGAGTGTCATTTTCTATCGAATAAAGTAAAAATATACGGAGGGTGCCATTTAAAAATCAAAAGTTGTAGTCGTTTCCGGTGAAACAGAGGGAGTGTCTAAATACAGTTGAATACGTCAAATCAATATACGTAATCAATCCTAATAATTTATGTCACATATGTTGAATGGCACAGTCAAACTCAGTGAATCGAAAGAAAACGTATTTATTTATAGCTTCTAATTGGTTTAACAATAAACAATAAGTTCTTCAGACTGTGTTCAGACTACGATGACTCGTCGCGTTCTTAATGTCTGTTTTACATCCACAGATTACTAACTACTAATCTGGTTATGCAACCAGTAATTTTTAGTATTGTCATCAACAACATACTATAGCATACCAAAATCTCGTTTCTTTTATCTGAAAAAAGAAAAAAGTTATAGGGGTGAGCCACTTTTAAGACGCACCCGGTATATTCACCCACTGCACTAAGAAAATAAATATAAAAAAATTCACTGCTCCCTGGACTATGGTAGGTAAATTTCATATCGAAAAATCTTATACAACAAAAAATAAGAAACAATCGCCTTTATTTATTTTCCTACACCCTGTATAATATTTGAAATAAGTATACCAAACACATAGAATCATGTATATAATAAAAAAATATTATTGGATTAATATTGCAGATCTAGAATTCGATAGATTTTATCGTTTTATTTGAATAAATCTTTTGTTCCAGTGTTTATAACTTTTAAAATTTCAAATCGAAAGCCGTTCCATTTCGTCACGACCAATTAGAGCGGAGAGAAGATTTTCGATTTCCCATAATTCCGCAACTCCCAGCCAATCGTCACTTGAGCAAACAACGCGACTCGCACGCTTTCAAAATGCCAATATCAGCTGATCAGAAGCAGGCGTTGGATTCACAGGCAGTGAACAATTTTCGAGAATATTTACAAATACCTAGTGTACAACCCAATATAAATTATGGTAAGGTGTTTTTTATATTTTATATTATATAACTAATGTTGAATTACTGCAATCCATGTGATAAAGTGTTTAAATTAGGTCAGATTAGATATATTTTTTGGTTCATAAAACTGCGCCTGTACTTTGAGATGTACCTACATTTCAGACATTTTTAATCTTTATTTTTCATTATTCTTTTGAATTTATACGGTAATTTTGTTAACTTGCTAAGATTTAGATTATTGCCTTTATTGATTTCTTAAAATTTAGGCAACCATAAGTTGAATAATCATTAAATTCTAATGTTATTCTTTGAAAAGCAGTATCTAAATTAGATATAAAAAATGACATTAGATTTGTTTATTTAAAATATGTAATTCTACACTCATAAATAACAAATTATGGTATATCCAAATTATATCTCTTTCATTGATATAAGGATGTACTTTTACAAATATACCACAATATATACACAATATTTTTTTATAATAAATGTAGATAAGTATGTACAGGGTGGAAATCAATACAAAACAAGTGATTGTTTTTCTAAAATTAAGGGCGTTTTTGATATAAAATTTGTCAATTTGGCGTTCCCCTACCAAGGTATTTTCATATATTATACAGTATATCTCCGGATTGTCTTTAACAAGAGGAAAAACTTTTTTACTATTGATATTTTGAGAAAAATGCATTCTTCACAAAAAATTTTACCTATTCTAAAGTAATAAATCCCGTTTATATTTTTCCAAATTTCCATGCCGTTTTAGAGCGAATTAAGAAAAAGGAAAATATGGTTGAATTTTTTTGAAGGTGAATGATAGTTATCTGAAAATATGATACTTTAACAACAAAGGACAACAGCAAAGATTATGACGTTAATCAAAATTAATAACAGTTAATAATAACTATTTATCAAAGAATGAAATCGAATTGATATTACCATAGAAACGCGTTTTGGTTTTATGTTGATTTTTAGGACATTATATTTTCCTGTTTTTTTTTAATTTTCTTTAAATTGGTATGGAAATTCGGAAAAGTATAAACAAGGTTGATAACAACAAAATAGTTAATCCAACTATTTTAGAAGAAGCAAAGATGTATATGAAGAATGCATTTTCCTCGAAATGCCAATAATACAAAAGTTTTTCTTCTTGTAAAGACAACCCGGGGTCATACACTGGGGTGAATTAAAATCACAATATGCATCTTTTTATATTTTTATTTTTCACAAGTATGTTCACTGGCCAAAGTGTCTCCAACGATTCAGGGAAGTCGCTGTCATGGACCTTCTATCCTCTTGTTGGACAAACTACATATATACTAGTTTAGGTCAATAGTCAATAATTATATATGAAAATATTGACAGCTCTTATTGTAGATACTTATTTTTCAATGTTTCTGTCAACTTCTTTTTTACATATTTAATGGTACAAGTTTAGGTAATAGTATATTTTTAATATTTATTAGCCGACCATACCAACAGGTCTGGTAGGCTATTAAGATCGGCAAAAAAAAGTTTTTTTTAATTTCACTCAAAATGAGTTATTTGGATCATAAATGACCTAAATACAAAACATTTTCATGGTGTCTGTCTGTCCGTCTGTAACACGATAACTCAAAAACCGCTAAACCGATTTTAACCAAATATGGCACAAAAATACTGTGGCACTCGAGAATCTGGCTATTATTTTTTAGTGGGGGTGGGGGGTTGGTAAGGGGGTATGGGAGGGGGTTAGAAATTTAAAAAAATAGTAACTCCAAAATTACAGTAGCTAGCGAAACGCGGTTTTCAATTTAAGATTAGGAATAATATTTGCAACAAAATTTGTAATAACATCAAAATCAAAGTCGCAGTTTTTGAGATATTTGATTGAGAAAAAAATTGGAAAAATTCCGTTACTTTGAAACTAAAAGAACTGCCTACCAACTTTTTATTAACATATTTTAGTATGGGTGGCTATTACGTGCCTCCCGGCGCCAATTTTTTTTTCTTGTTAATTATTCAATGTAGAATAAAAATGTTAAATTTACTTTTATGTACTAGAAATAATAATTTATTTAAAAACGTGACTTTATTGTAAATATGCTGTAATGTCCCTAATATTGTGTATTTAGTTTACCCTAAATTATAGCTAAATACCTAGTTATCTTTAAAAATACAATCAACTGAATTTTTTTACACTTATTCAGGTACACCCTGTATAGTTTTTGAATGTTAATTTCTAATATAACCCTATTTTATATACATATTTTAGATGATAGTTTTAAATTCTGATATTGGAGGGAAAAGTCGTAATAAAAAATATGTTTATAATCCATTAAACAATCCACCTTATTAGAAAAACAATTACTCTTTGAATTTTTCTGCACTTAGGTATTCATATACCGGGTGGTGCATCGTGGTTGGAAACAGGAAATCCCATGCAAAGTCGTAAATATTTTTTTTTAAACGCTGAATACCTATGACTGAATACACATGCCAACTTTGACTAATTTTGAACAAGTCCATTTTAAGAAAAACTGCATCTATTTTTAAATTAAAACTTAACAGGCAACAATGCAAAACCAGTCCAGAGCTGCAACAAGTCAGTTTTAAAAAGACTTACAGTACGTCTGTCCGTTCTGTGGCTACGGGATATCCGTGAGAGGGGAAACGATATTCTCTCGATGTTTTTCGTAAAAAATTAGACGACGCGTCCCATCAATAAAAATTCGACAAATTTGCAAGTAGCCAATAAAATGAGTGGGCGGAGCGATTTGCGGTGACGTACTCGACGTATAAAAATATATTGCTGTTTATTTAAATGTTTTTTGTCCTCATTCCTTTCATAGACACAGATCCAGACGAACTGTAAGTCTTAAGTCATTTCTAAAATCAAATGATTAAAGTCTTAAGTCAAATTCAACATAAAATTCAAATGATTTAAGTCTTAATTTTTCGATTTAAATCGTTTTATTCCAAGTCAAGTCGTTTGTAAAGATTTAAATCAAATAACGTTATTTAAGTCGTTTTATGACATAAGTCAATATTTTTTACTTAAATCATGAAGATCTGCAAGTAGAGGAATACCAATCCACAAAATGCGGATCCCTCTAAGATTCCGCGGGATCAAAGTTGCGGGATTTACCGTGCAGGATCCGCGGATCGACACATTACTACTGGGTAAAACCGAATCGATCGCGATCAAGGTCAAACCGCTGCGTTCCGGGCTGATGCGTCGGCGCTCGGAACCCGGGGGATTCCCCTTACAGCTTGGCCATTAAAAATAAGTGAAACAAACAGGTTAGTTGTTAGATTTCTTTCTGGCATATGTGTGTAAGTGAAGAAAAAGCGTTTAACTAGTACTTGTAGGACAATTTCGCCAAATAAACTGCCGTACATAATTATCGGGACAAAAAGCAAAATTTTAGGGTAAATTTAAAGTTGAATATCTCTTGAACTAAAAAAGATTTTTGGATGCGGTTTTGGACCAGGTATTGGGTGCATCTATTGTGATTAAGATGCTATGTGGTTTTCGAAAATATATTTAGCGACTTCTCGTATACAGAGTGTTTTATAAGAGTGTGAAAATTTGGTTAAGAATCTTTTTACCCGCAAATTTACAATTTTTAAAAATCGAAATTTTACCAAGTACGACTAATCTGTATTGAAATTAGAAAAAACAATTTGATCGGTTTTTTAATTTTATTTTGTTTTAAGGAAAAAACGACGTTTTTCGAAAAATATGCATTTTTAGTCATACGTATGGTCCTAATAATACATTCTGCATATGCCAAAAAATTATTGATATAGAGTGTATCTAAAAGCAGATAACTAACACAAGTTCAACAAAAATTCAACATCAGAATAATATTTTTATTTATAAAATAAATATATAAAATATTTATTTAATATTAAATATATTTTTGAACACCCTATATATACATAGGTCCAAATTTCTGTCTATATCAATATATTGTGGGCCTATGCAAAATGGACAATGCCTTTTGTACCATTTAGGACAAAATGTATGACTATTGTTTACAGTCCCGCAATTTTGCGGATCCGCGGGATTGATTGCTTTAATCCCGCGGGTTTGCGGGATTTATTTTTTAAAATACTTCCAAAATTCTTTATTTGAATTTTTTTGCTTGTTAAGAACTCGATTTTGAACGTTTTCATTTTGAACTGTTGTTCAGATCAGGTTTTAATACCGAAAATCTTGTTCTTAAATCGCGACCAAACATGAGCATTGCAGGAGAAACACCCATTGTAGAATGCGGAGCATTTCTAAAATCAAATAAAAATTCTGTAATGCTATATTTATGTCTAATTTTTAGATTTATTCAAAGAATTTTTTTTTAAACAATTTTTATAGTTTTTTGACTGCATTTTCCGCAGCTCCGTTAGACTGAGGAAAAAATGGTGCTATTGTAATATGTTTAATACTATATTTTCTAAAAATATTTTAAATTCAGAACTTGTAAAATTTCTGGCATTATCGGACACAATACACTTTGGTAACCCAAATCTTGCAAATGTACTATGTAATGCAAGGGTAATGCTGATATAGTGAAATGTGATATAGTGATGTGTGTATACAGGGTGAGTTTCCTACGATGTTCTCTATGGGTATCTCGGAAACTACTGGAGATAGAGACTCGGTTAAATGGGGAAAGAATTGCAGTTTTGTGGGGTCATAAATATGCGTCTTTCAGATTTTTGAAAAAAGTTCATGGCTTACTAGATATTTCGAAAAAACAAATTTTGGCTATTTTAAAATTGTCCGTAACTCCATTATAAGTTATTTTAGACAAAAAGTTTTCAGATAAAAGTTGTAGATAATCACAACCTTTATGAGACTGTGCCTCCGTTTTTCTTCTAAAGCCTATCATTTTTTGACATATCACACAACATATGTTTTTTTAAATGGAAACCATAGTTGGCCATGACTTCATAAAAAGCGCCATTTTTTAAGCTTTTCAGCGATATAAGCTATAATATGCTTTCTTCGAAAAATTACAGAGTTATAGCCAATTCT